CAGACGTTTTGGAGCGCTCTTAACAAAATGGCAACCAGGAACACAGCAGTGGAAGCACGGCGTTGAGCAACTGTTCAATGGAAAGGGGTTGCTAACGCTAAGTGAATACCATACAAAATTTATCTGCGACATTGTATTCATTTAGTCATTTGTTTATTTTCTGTTCAATTCTTCTGTTCAAACTTCCTAATCTGAAACTAAATGCTTGATGAAACCTACATCACCATCCTTCTCATCGCCGGAATTCTTCAAAGTCGGAGAATTCCTTTCCGCTCCCAGGGTAGACGCTATCCACAGAATGACGCTAAGGGCGGTCTGAGTGAGTGTCAAATAACCAAGAAACTTGTACACTTTCAAAGCCTGAAAAGCGACGGTCACTACTGAGCAACAAACCATTAAGTGGTATGAAATGAAACCTTAAGATCGCTCTGAGGATTAAGAGACAAGTACTTGATACCAGAGACCCGGCGGGAAATATTGTAGTAGACTCCGAATATATAGAAGAAAGCCAAATGTATGCGATAGAGTTGAGGAATACCAACAGACCTGGAAATGGGCCACGAAACATCCAGATGAACACGAATTATGTAAGAAAGGATCTATACCTCATCCATTCAACTAATGACTTGAAGCTCCTCCTGGCTGTTGGATTATTCCTGATTGGTACGCCAAGGAATGACGAAGTTGATGGATGAGCGAGAAGAATTTCTGCTTTCTTAATAAAACATGATAAGTATAAGTGATCATGATTGGGAAACTTCAAAAAAAATGATACGTTTAGCTCTAACAAGCCTTATCACAAAACCTGAAAGTTCTCATAAGTCTTGAAATCAAAAGCAAACCAGCAAAAAGCAAGGAAAAAATTTAGGGGGATTCAATGGCAGAAAACAGACCTGTAGAGCAAATCTTGATAACAAAGGGGCGATTGTGTGGACAACAATAAAAAGAATCCTGGCTCGTAGCAAAGGAGCAGCACGTAGTTCCGACTGAATTTGAAATATCTTCACATATTCCTCTCCAAGCGTTTGTACTCCTTCAAAGATACAGAATACAGCCAGAGAATTACCTGATTTTTTTATACTTCGAGTAAAATAAAGCATGCTCTCTTTTTAAAGGCAGTGAACACTGAATTCGACGGTTGTGATGGATACTATGCGCAAGAATACTCGTCAATAAGTTAAGGAGATAAACAGGACTAAGGAAACAATACTACTTCACACCATTCCCCGTTCCTCGGAGGGTTCCAGTCGCATCCACAAAGAGTTTAGGAAGAAAATGAGAGAAGAAACTGAAGGAGAAATCGAGAGAATGAAGCATATTAGATTTTTACAAAAAACTGTGCCGAGAATGTTCATTTAAATAACAGAGCCATGAAATGTCACCATAACTATCACCATAAAATTCTTGGATGTGTAGTTATCAAGGAGACGCTCATTGATGAAGTGTAACAAAGAGATACTGGGCTTGATCTCGTAAGGCATTTTGTCAAACTTTCAAATGACGTTTTTCCAAATGCTACGAAATGCCTACATGAGTATGCAGCTCCGACAGTTTCACTTAACAAAGCGGAAACCTTTCTGAAAAGTTACTACCGCGCTATACTACTGCACTATACCCAAGTACGACTACAAAGAATTGCAGGAAAGCAAACACAACATCACACATTATTTGAAAGACACAAGATTGCCTGATGACTTAAGGGTCAAGAATTATATGCAAACCAATCAATCAACGATGTTTGCTGACATTGTTGGTCAGCTTCTTTGAATCATTAATATATTCGAAGAGGCCCACCAACAAGGTTATTCGACTACTAACGATAGCCTTCTGAAGACAGGAAGTAGAGCTATTTCGCTATTTCACAATGTAACAAAACGAAATCTCACCCGCTAAAGTTGTGCACGAGTAATACGCTATCAGCGCCATTGCTCTCAGATAGGGAAAAAATCTGATCCATGCTCGCTGACCCAATAGTTCTTTGATAACCTGAACGCATATCAGCTAACCCATGGTAATTTCAAAAGCAAAGAACATAAATGATATTCAGGAGACTAACTCACCTGAGAAATGCGGTGCTGCAAGAGGTCAATTTCCTCCTCATCCCTCCGTTGGGCTCGGACCATCTCCCCGATTTCGGCAGCATAGGTCTGCATGATCTACTAATCTTGAAAATGAGGGTCAGAACATTTCAAAACGAAAGTAACTTTTGGTATTTCCGTCACGACAAGATTGATTTGGGTACCTTATCTAATATTTACTGCATTTTCAGGTATTGAAAAATGGAACAAATGGTGGTATTGAAGAAATAGTGCACTAAGAAAATCATCATCAAAAAATGACCCGATCCAATCTAAATCGCAGTTCGCTCACTTATCAGAACAAACACTCGACAACAATTGATAACAATATTAAATAACATAAAACCTAGTGATAATATCTAGCGTATCAAATTGAGCTTTAGGAAAACTTTCTGAACAACAGGTGACTAAATTTCAAGAATTCAATTCTTCCATCCACTTCTCACACCTTTGAAACATCCGCTAACTTCTCTGAATGACTCTCGTCCTTCGCATCGGGCGCTTGCTGAGTTCCAAGGGTGCGATCGAAGAGTCGACCTTTTTGTCGTGTTGGCACACCCTCTTGGTACTTCGCCGGCGGAGGATCATAATACTAGAAAATTAGGTTTTTTTAATAAATACACGCGATAAGAAACACCCATGATTCAAAATGACGCTCTTGATGGCAAGCGATTTTCTTCACAAGTGAGCTTTTGTATCGTCGAAGGTTCCACTTTCATCAGTTGTTTTTTACTTGAGCTTCAGGCATTTTCTCCGAAAATAATATGTACAAAATCATCAGTCCAAGGTGCACCTCAAACGCAACCACATTAAGATATAAATGGCTATCCATTCACACCCAACAGGTTGCCTGTCAGTGACTGAGAACATCGAAAACGACAAAAACGAAAGAAATGTGATTGGAAACTGGATCATAGAACTCGTGAGCAATAGTAAAAAACGGACTGCTTACTTTCTTTCCTTGCCGATCGATGGCGAAATCGTAGACCTTCGGATTCTCAAGTGCTTCCATGATCTTCGCCTCTAAGTTTTCCTCATTCACAAAATCACGACTTCGTGCAATCGCATCTCGGACCTTAAACAGCTGGTTTTCATGGGGCTGATTGCTCATGACCGAACAAAAACTATCTTCAAGGCGGGACCGTTTTTAGACAAGCTCCCCACAAATACAGATTAGAATCTTAGGTCGTGCACGACCGCAGGACCACCCTAATCGGTGCAGGTAAGCACATTTCTGAAGCAGCCACCGAGCTGTACTCATTCATAGAATCCAATAAAAATAATTAATACAAAGATCAGAATCAGTAGCAACTCTGAAGGTACCTCTGCAGTAGCCTCTTTTGCTACACTGTGCTGCTTCTGAAGAGCTTCGTCGATTTCTTTCAAGATTTCACGCTGAGTTTCCTTCCACTCCTCCTCCTCCTTCCTCGCCCTAGCTTCAGCCTAGAAAGAAAGAAAAGAGCCTTGCATGTTCCAACAAGCTGCAGAATGTGAACAGCCTTACCATTTCACGGTTGACCCTCTCGTTTTCGGCAATAAGACGATTGAGCTCTGCGTCTTCCTCTTCTCTCATTGATTCCACTCCCTTTCCAGCAGCTTCGGCCTGTTGTATTTCTTGACGAAAGATCTGTAAAAAAATACTGATACTAGATCGAGCATAAAGGTAATTAACTGTTAACTGAAGCCAGACTGATGCCTATTGGGTTGTTAGCCGAGTAATTCTATTTCCTTCAAGCTAAAATTCCTTTCATGAGATTCAATGGGTTTGAATTATGTCTACTACTCAAGTCAGAAGAATTATTCGCACTACAAAGAAGTACAACGTTTCGAAACAAATCCGGTGGCCTAGGTTGAATTTCAAACTCAAGAACCGGGACAGTCGTGTCTGCGATAATTAGCCAAACGGCTATCATTGAATCACAATTTTCCAGTGCAATAGGTCAACCAATTACTCAGTGAGGAGCTCTTCTGAACCTTACATCACTGGGTCCAACCAACTTTGTAACCTTTTTAGTCCGCTTTTCCTTTAAGGCTTGGAGATTGATGAGTTTTCCGAACTTCCCATAATAATTTATGTACTTCGAAACCACCGCGAATCTCCTTTAGAGCCTTTTTTTTCACGCGATCCCGAAAACGTTTCGCTTCTACGCAGAAAAGAATATTTAGTTCGAATTCCAGAGCCACTATATGTATAGGATGTTTCTTCGTCAAAAATGAAAACATCACTTCACGCCCTATTTTTTCACACAAAATCAATTAATCACGTAAATTTTATATATGGCCTCTCCCAATAGTAGAGCGAACCAAATTCACGTTACATCATCCTTGTATACCAAAAGACTTTGAAATCAGATGCTACCTCTTTCAAAGACATGACAGCATTGTTGTAAACATGACGCCTCCAAAGAAGTTCCTTTACGTCTTCTGGAGATTGCCAAGGGACATGAACCACATGATAGAGCACCTAAAGGGTAAAGAGTCACGCAAAAATATTGTACTTTCACAGAGTGTTAGGGCAATATGCACCCCACCTTATCTAGTTGGGGCGCATATCCACCTTACCTAGGTACGACTCAGCTACTGCATAGGCTGCTGTCTGAAAAGCAGGTTTTCCGTGGTACTATGGCAAACATACCTTTTTTGAAGGAGGTAGTATGGGAGGTTTTCCTTGGTTAGGAGGACGTCGACGAAAATTCCTGGAGTGAGCATGAACGCACAATGCTACCTCGGCCGTGAGCAACCGACGACTAAGTGAGGTCTGGCCCAACATCTACAAGGAAGTATCATAGAATAACTCTAGAGTATACTTTTATAGCAGATATTTCGGGATATCAACCAGTTTTAGAAAATCAAGCACTTGATCTTATAAGAAAATTCATCACAACATGAAATTGTCATCAACAATCGAGAGACAAGAGAAATATTCCAACTCATAAGTCGATGCAAACAAACACGCAGAACACAACATTAACAACCAGAAAAACGGGGAATTCAACAATGTCAACACTTCTGTACAATCTAACAACTTAAAAAGTGTATAAATATATCTATGCTTTCTGTGAAAGACTGCCTCTAAGGGGATCAAGAATCTTCAGTGGAGTTTCATGTAGTAGCTTTCACCATTTCGATTTTGCACAACCGTTGCATGGTGCTCACCATCGGTGTCCTGAATACACTTTGAGGAATCATCTGCTGGTTGCAAGCGACAAAGAAGAAATTTAGGGAGATTTGCATAAAGAAAGCAGTGCGACACATACAAGTCGCTTTTGGTTGCAAAACTCTCTGATGGCTATTTAAGAAAAAGAAAAATTACCGTATGATGTATAAACCACTCATACCACACGCCAGAGTCATCAACTTTCCGTTCTATGTTGAGGGCCACCTAAACAAAGCATAGGTGTTGTTATAACAGCACTGGTTGAACATTTCCTACTATCGGCAGTGTTTTTTTTTTGATAAGACTACACTAATTCATTATTTCGCTAGAGCTGTTAGGTGCTCCTTTGACTGAGGGGTTGGGGGGAGCCTACATAATAGCAACGCGCCAAAAAAAAATTAGCTAGACAACAGATTTTCGACGACCACTATGGATGTGAATGGCATGGTTCAAATGATTAGTGAGTGATTCTTCTATTTGTTATTTCCCCTTGGTTTCAACAACAAGAAATTTCTGTTGTGAATTGGGTTGATGACTCCCTCGTACTACAAAAGAGAACCCAGTTTATCTTCGTCCGATTATAGCTCTAGCTTTTACATAACTCGTCTTAAAACCCTCGCTTTTCCATTCTGCCCCTAAGAGTCACGTAATGTTAAACGAAATGCATTTGAATGATTAAATAAGGCAGTACCTTCTCCGTTGGCAGAACTCGATACAAGTCTCGAAGAGGAATGAGCGCCGGGAACCAACTAATCATGCCGTCCGAAAATGTCGATGGTTCTATCGACAAGGTTATATCCTTATACAGGTTCATGTGGAAATAACCAGCAAAACCCATCAACTGAAAATGAAACCGGAGTGACCTGAATAAAGTGTAGTAGCGAATAGAGAAGCCCAAATTCACTCCAGTGGCATATCCTGTCAAAGAAATCAACTAATGACCCAAAAAGTTTTACAATGGGTTTTATCCTAAAGCATCGGATTTCTGACAAACTTAAAAGTTGATTCAAACCATCAAATCAAACAAACTAAGGGGAGCACAACATTTTTAGCCTCTTCTACTTATTATTCTAATACAAAACTCAATTGTTATCATAATACAAAATTCTAATTATCTTACATCAGCTGGACGATCCACCTCGAACGGTATACTAGCTGACCGTTCATTTGACTTGTTTTCGAAGTTAGGATGAACAAATGTAAAAACTGGCTTCGGGTCGGCGAGAGCACAATATTGCCGTAAAAAGGCTACATATATCTGGTCCATATTCGAGACATGTTCACCTTGCCTAAAAATAATAAATATGTGATGGAAATACACAAAGAAACGGGTTCAACTAACGGGTAGTTTTGCCGATAACTGCCATCAGGTTGAAGCTGAGGTCCTACTCGTCCATGTGCTGGTAACCCCCGATTCCAGTAACTTGCACTACAAAGTCTGATTTGCTGATGCATGTGAAGAGACATTATAGGAGCTGAAATAGATAATCAACGCGTGAATCCAGTGATTGCACGGCAGGAAAATTCTGGAAAGATCTCTTACCAACAAAACTAGTATATTTTTGAGGTATACTTATTGTCGAAGGCTTCAATAATGGCGTGATACCATCCAGACATTCAGGACTCAGTTCGTTGTCTCCGAACGATCCGAGCAGTTCAGAGACTATGATGTCCGGCTGAGGGTATCCATGTTCAGCTGCGATTGCAGGAACATCTCGCATGTCCGCTTCTATGATAACACACCGACTTCTCCAACTGAAAGGCTGTCATTACATCACCGCTACTTGGTGCAGTGGAACGAAACTGTCGCGTCGCGGCGAAAGAGGCGCGCGCGAAGGAATGCAGCAGAATGCAGCAGCAAGTAAGAATTGCAGGAACAAAAGAACTAACATTACAATCATGCCGAAAATAATAATAGCACATCGACTGAGTTGTATGCAAAACGCTAGAATTGTAATAACGAGGCAAATGGTCCGCGACTGCCGCGCGCGCGGCGACTCGATTACACGTAACCGTTCCTACTGCCCAACTCGCCCGCGCGTGTTATGAAGCACTGCATTTCGTCAGTTCCACAATTTCCGAAGTTATACCGAAGTATAGTACCACATTACTACATATTTGTAAACTTTTGGGAATATAAGAAGACAAATTTTTCTTGGTCTATTCTTCCAATTGACCAAATAAAAAGTGGGTTACTCAGGAAAGCTTCAGAAGAGACTCTAGTTTCAGGGGGTTAAATTGGAGTGGATAGATAGTTTGACAACGAGAAAGAACTTACACATTTTGGTTCATGTACTTCAGCGTCACGATAGCATTTGCATTCTTTTCTACAACATAAATTTCCAGCTGAAGTCGATCCCGTTTGCATCGAAAACGAGCGTTATAATTTCGCTCAGCTTCGATTGAGCATGTAACCTTAAAAATTGATTTTTTTTTTGAAAACACACTACTATAAAGTGAACTCTCAATCACTCCGCTTCAACGTTCTGCTTATTGACTGGCTATCACTACTTTCCATTCAGGGAATAGAGTTCAAGCTTACCAGTGGACCTCTTCCAGCTCCCAATACGTAGAGTACAAGCCGTTCAGGGCGAGCAGCTGATTCACCGTAATCGTGGATAGCCAGCTCCACCGCTTCGCGATACCTTCGATATTTTACCGGATCTTGTTCGAAGGTATTGTAAACGCTAGAGTCCAAATTGTCAGCTAGTGGTTGCAAGGGCACCTATGAAAGTGCTTATTGTAACAAAAACAACCTCATGCCTTCGAACTTACGAACCTGCAGAACATCAACGTAATTGATGTTAGAATCTACCAGAAATCCTGAAACGGGGGTGCTTGACGAACGAGCACTGACATCACGAACAATACTACGAAGTGCCTGAAGACGATCATCATTACTCTCATATTCATGATGTATAAATCGGAATCACTCCGTATGTTCTTCAAATTAGATCGGTCCCAATCGAGCGACCAGAACCATACCATAAAAATGGAATACAAACGGAGTAGGAATTATAAACAGGGGTTACCTGAGCACAGTGAAGTTGCACCTGTGGCGAAATCTCATGATCAAGCGACCCTCGAACCATAATTCGGGAATTGTCTGACATCCATAACTCAACCAACAAGTTTGCATGCGCACTGAAAAGATATAAGATTCCATAGCAAAATATATTAACGTGATGTACGATTTAATATAAAAAGGCTTTTAAAAACTTACGGCGGAAGGCATATTTCTTGAGAATCCTTGCAAGTAACGAAAGCATCCACATCGACACAGAAGGTCGCCAGCTGAATTTTGAAAAAACAACGTATCACTAGAAACTACTGATTTAGCATTTGCTCAGAGCAGAGTAAATTCGCTCTGTGACGTGTACAGAAGGTAGAGAGAAAGATGGTTACCGGCTCTGCTTTCCATCGAGAAATCAGCTTTTTGTCAACAAATTCATAGTCAATATCAGCTGTTAAATGTAATCCGGCTGCAATGAATTAATTACAGGAACTATTCAGAGAAATCGTGCGATATATCATCAACAGGGTTTACCTATGAGCTTTTGGCTAGAGAAGTTTGAACAAAGTTTCCGAAAATCTGCCCAAACCGCCCAGCAATCTCTCTCATCATTTGGTAACCGCACCAGGTCGTCAATTGAAGTCGGAACCAGAATCCACAGACTGCAAAACACATTACAGAGATAAATTCACAACCATAACTTCTACCTAGCAAGATTTAGAAGAACAGTGTCGCTGGACATACCACAGGTTCACGTTCTTTGTCCATAGCCATTGATTGAGAATACGGGCTAATCGAGGAGAGTCTGCATGTTTTAACCGAAATACAGCACTGCGGAGGCCCATGTAGGCGCAGTAATTGAGCTCCTTAAATAGAGTGATAACGTCGGTGCTTCTCTCTTGAAGAGGGGCGTTACGCAATGGCAATAAACATTCGCAAAACCGACGAAAAACCAATGTTCAAGAATGATCCCAAACCTTTTGCAATTCAATCTCGGACAATGCGGCTAGCTCTTCCTTTTCAGAGTCACAGTCTATCCATGAAGAGATTTGGGCATTAACATAGGTCTCCCATAAATGATTCTGCAGCTGCACATCGGGGAGATCAATGGGAGGAGGAACGGCCGTGGTGCTGTATGAAGCAAAATTAGATAGAATTCGAAAAGGTTCTAGCACAAACAACGATCTGGTCAACTCATACATCAGCGGGAGTACATACCTATTCGGCTTCCAAAAACCGCGTTTCACTCCTCCGATCGGATAACTGACAAAATTGTACATCTGACATCCTAAACGTTGACTGTATACTGCGATTTTGCTGAAAGAAAAAAGATAAATTTTGGTAGCTTCACTTCCTCCTTCTTCCTCTACCACATGTTAAAGTAAAAAATGGATAAAAAAGATTCGTGCAAACGAACTGATCGTACTCCTCCTTGGCATCTGCAGGGCCTGCCACCCACCCTACATTAATCCGCTGCCGGTCCTCTGGTGAGCATTGATTCTATAATTTACACTCCTTATGTATTCAGTGAATAAATATGAAGGAACCTTTACCATAGAGAGCTATGGTCACCACCTAATAAAACTTGTTTCTTGCTGGGAGGGTGAGAAGCTTACAAATAAACGCTTGTCTATTTGTAAGCTCCTCACCCCCTCGCTCGATGTTCTTAAGTTGGGTTACTGAGAAAAACTCTGAGGTATTCAATCCTCAAAGCGCTCTCGTTTTCCACAAAAATTCAGGAAGAGTGGGCATAGAAACTTCGAACATTTCAACATTCACACTTGCACTACATTTTGCAGGTTCCGAGAATTTACCAAATTGATAACCTAATCGTTGAAAAAACCAGCGAACCTGCAAAAAACTAAGCGAACCTGTGCAGACAATGACTGTGCTGCGAGTTCATCTCCCTTCATAACCATTCCATTGCTGGTAGTTGGTGTTTGCATCTGAAAATGGACCGAATAACTCCCATCTCGGTTGTGATGATAAGTATTGACTGCTTAGATAGAATGTCTGCTCCTCAGAGAAGAACAATCAGAACGAATGAAAGTCTTCTGAGGATTCGATAGGGTACGATAGCAGCAGGCAATATGACAAAAACATTGATAATAAAAGTTCGCAGACGAACCCCCCCCCCCCTTTCCTCAAAGCTTCTTGATTCGGGCAGACCCGGACCACAGCTTTAGGCGATTTTGAACAATCTCTGCGAATATCCCCCTTGCACCCTCTTGCCTACTTTTTACAGCTGCTAACCACGGAGAAAAATTTTTCGAACATCAGCGAACATGTGTCAATCAGTTACCCATTCACTAATTTGGGGAATAATCACCATTTCGGGGTATAATCTATTTTGTTACGTTTGTGCAACTTTCATGCTCGACGAACTGCACTTAGCCGTTGAGATCTGCGCTGCAGCATTCAGAACTTCAGCTGATCAACTCTACCAAGCCAATGACGAACGATCACCTTTCCATACATGTACAAGTAAAGCCGAGACCCCGAAAAATCGTGTACTTTATCTTTACCCCCCTAAATCCACAGCATTAACATAATGAATTCAACTTTTCTGCATACCAAGCACGGAGCTAGTTAATGACTTGAGAAGATTCAACTTGGGGATTTCAATCTAGCTGTACCACAACTTAATTTTCTCTTCATCTTCCCTTTAACACTAAAAAGTTACTACTTCCTACATCCAACCACTCCTGATTAGAAGAGTCATAACACACCTTTGCCATGTCCACACCTTTCCAGTTATTTGCATCCACACACTTCGGAAAGGATCTGTCGTATTCCATTTCCCCTTCGCCATTACTGGATTTCTTTTTCGATTTCTTCACAGGACTCGTCATTACAGCACTGTTGTCATTCAAAAACAAGTCTTAATTAAATTTTCATTTTTTTCCAACCTATCTAACTAAAAAGAAACAACCACATACGAAACGCAAGGATGATGCGTTCAGCTGTTTATGATCTCTCACTCGTTTTACCATTAACAACAAATTCATTACAACAGCCAGGTAAGCTTTCACTGAATCCACAGCATGGGCGAACCAAAATCTTATAGACAAATTTATCTCTACAACATAGCAACATTACTATTACTAAAATCTATGTATTGTGCTGCTTGGCGAGTTCATCAGCCTTGGCAAACACATCATCAATTCCTCCTTGCATATAGAAAGCAACCTCGGGAAGATGGTCGAGCTCTCCTGAAAGAAAACATCGAAATTTCGCGAGAGACCAAGAATGTAGGAAAATGACAAGATATAAAGAAAGCCCATCACATAGCTTATCAATTTACCCTTTGACCTTTCTAACAATCACCGCCGATAGTATCCACTTTTGGGATCCCTCTCGACTAGCAAAAATGGAAAACCAATACAAATCCATATTGTTTCCGCATTCCCACTTTTTTAACATAACGCCATACGCCTAATACATTCAAGAGATTTCAATAGCTTCCATCATACCGTGTCAGTGAGATGGGAAGGTTGAGCATGAAATTGATTGATCTTGACTTTGCGTAACTCAGCAAAGACCATCGAGAGACAAGAGAAAGACTCACATATCAAAAATTTGTCTCAGGGTGGGTATGAATTCCTTGAATCAATGGTGTTATACACCAACAAAAGCAAAATTGCAGCGGTACAGGTACCACCGTCCCTTGGACACACTTGTTCGCATGAATCTCACATATCTTATTTCCCTACGAGGTAGAGGTAGACGATACCTAACCCCTGAGGGCTGCTGATTCTTAGTTAGCCGAATCCAGCGGAACCTTTTACCAGTTTTTGCTTAACCATCATTCTTCTTTCAACAATCATAAAAAAAGCCGTTTGAAACTGAGCCATGTTGAAACCAGCCCCTGGGTGCCATTAACTTCACCCACTTCGAGCATTCTGCATACTGTTCAATATAGGCAACTATGAGGTTGTGAGTATCAGGAATAACGACATGGAAAACCGTGGCCGAACGCTTCTTTCATATATATATCCGGAGGTAATTAAGAACTAACCTTTCAAAATCATCTCAAATCCGCGAATAGTTTCTTCCAGTGACACGAACTTTCCGGCATGACCAGTGAACACTTCGGCGACTTGGAATGGTTGAGAAAGGAAACGTTGGATCTTTCGGGCACGAGATACAGTCAGTTTGTCGTCTTCGGACAACTCGTCCATACCAAGGATAGCAATAATATCTTGAAGAGACTTGTAATCCTGAAGAATCTTTTGCACTCCACGAGCAATATCGTAGTGTTTGTGTCCGACAATGTTTGGGTCCATGATACGGGAGGTAGAATCCAAAGGATCGACAGCTGGGTAGATGGCTAATTCGGCAATACCACGAGATAATACAGTGGTAGCGTCCAAGTGAGCGAATGTGGTGGCAGGAGCAGGATCGGTCAAGTCATCAGCAGGCACATAGATAGCCTGCACAGATGTGATGGATCCCTTAGTTGTGGTTGTAATACGTTCCTGCATGCTACCCATATCGGTGGCCAGAGTGGGTTGGTATCCTACAGCAGATGGGATACGTCCGAGAAGGGCAGATACTTCAGAACCAGCCTGTGTGAAACGGAAAATGTTGTCAATGAAGAGAAGCACATCCTGTCCTTCTTTGTCTCGGAAGTATTCGGCTACACTCAAACCAGTCAAGCACACTCGAGCACGGGCACCTGGAGGCTCGTTCATTTGACCATACACCAGCGATACTTTCGAGTTGTTGCCCTGAAAATACGAACTTGCAGTAACGAAGTCAGTAGCGTATGTAAACGGAACCTCACCTTGAGATCGATAACGCCTCCTTCAATCATTTCGTGGTACAAATCGTTACCCTCACGAGTACGCTCTCCGACTCCTGCGAACACAGAGTAACCTCCGTGAGCCTTTGCGACGTTGTTAATCAGTTCCATAATAAGTACAGTTTTTCCTACTCCGGCACCACCGAAAAGACCGATTTTTCCTCCTTTCGCGTACGGTGCGAGCAAGTCGACGACCTTGATTCCAGTTACTAGAATCTCTTGTTCAACGGACATTTCAACGAACTCTGGTGCTTCAGCGTGAATAGGAGCGCGGTGCTTAGCGGGGATAGGACCTCGCTCGTCGATTGGTTCGCCGATGACATTCATAATCCGGCCGAGAGTCTCTGGTCCTACTGGGATCTTGATTGGATCACCAGTGTCGACGACTTCTTGACCGCGAACAAGTCCCTCAGTTCCGTCCATAGCAATGCAACGGACCACATTGTCTCCTGAATAGAACAATTGGATAGGAGTTTTCTTTTAACCCGAAGACTCAAATCGATAACTGGTCGAACCACTTACCTAGATGCTGAGAGACCTCGAGGATAAGACGTGGGGAGCGACCAGTGACTTCGAGACCATTGAGAATCGGAGGAAGGTTCTCATCGAATTGGACGTCGACGACGGCACCGATAACGGCGACGATCTTTCCTTTTGATCCCGCGGCAGTGGCAGTCTTCGACACCTATACGACATCGTACTCATAAAGCAATTGCAAGACGCTTGCTACAGAATAACAAAATGTAAATATGAATAAAAAACGTGAGCTACATTAATCTGCTGAGCTGAGTTGTCAATGAAAAACTGAGTATAAACTAAGGAAGTGGCAACAGCAAATATGCAGTCTATCCAATAATCATACCCAAAAAAGTTTTTACAATCAAACACTTGTGAATGAAGGCTCGCCCTGCGACCCATGCCCAAGTAGTTTTAATATGACTCCATCGAGCTAGGCCCTTAGCCACTAGGGTCAAGTTACGCCACCGACAAATGGGGCTAGAAAAGGGGACGAATTGACACACTTTTAGTTAATGCTCTCGCTCCAGAACAACTTCAAGATGTTGAGAAATTGCTACGGATTGAGCCGCGATAAACCTCAACAAAAAGCCCTACCGCATGGCGCAAATAAAAAAGCAATACTTGAAGCCGTTGGGGTAGAAAGAGCTATTTGCATTTTAAAACTTGAGGCCTAGTTTGGAATAAGGTTGCCTAGTAGGGAATATATTATAACAAAGTGGGTTGACCCCGGGAAAGAGAAAAGCTATGGGATGTTTAGTGGTGAAAGGGGCAAAAGTAGCAAATCGGTTCACGACATCTCAGAATGTTATCTCGTTATGTTATCTAGTACACTTGCTGTAAGAAGCTTCTCGACTGAAGAAAATCTTCTTGTACTTATTTCTGCCCATCTCCTTGCACTATAAACTCTCTAGAAAGTTGGAAAGGAAATAGACTATCTAAATAACAAGGATCCGTTGTTTCTGAATTGTAGTTGCTAAGAAATGATCGGACAACTGTACATCGAAGAAATGATTACGAAAAAAGCACAAAATCAACACTTACACTCTTGTCGGCCTGAGCTTGCGCCTGAGCCACCACTGAAGAATGAACACCTCTCTTATTATCGACAGTATTGGAACTGTGGCGCACTAAAATACAGCATCTTTCGATAATTAAATGAGTTAAGACAATATAACATAAAAAAAACCATAATGAAGTTACAAAGCAACTGAAACGGCCAATAAGCCACGTGAAGTAAAGCAAGGAACTAACCACTGGCAGCAGCAGCAGCAGGAAGAACAATCCTCTGAATATTAGATTTTAACAGGCGAGCCGCGGCCGAGCGACCGACCTGAGCCAGTGATCGCGAAGCCATCCTTTGTACCCCTAAAGTGCAGGTTGTTGACTTCGCCACTATGAAATAAACAAAAGTGTAACTTAAGAGCAGTTCCTGCAATTTGACCTGTACCTAGGGCGAAAACAACGATAAATCAAACTGGACAGCCGACAGAATTGTCAATACAACCAACAACAATAAGCACAACACAACAAAAACGGGTTGTCAAAATAGAACAACTTGCATAACGGGCTTCAAAAGACAACTTATACATCCAGAATAGAGAAACTCAACACCTAGACATTCCCGATCATACTGATTCGAGGTGAACACCCCAAATCCCGTCAGAATCTTACAAATCAATTAAAGAGCAGCAGCTTTTGCTCGGATAGAAGTGTCGCTGGGACAAGACCGTACCCTATGCCGCCCGTTAGTTGCAATAGGCGCGCGTCCTGCCACGAATATTGGACATGCACTCTTGGCATGCTTTGGCACAGTAGTGCACCTCCAACGAGTTTTAGGCCATAACGCGGCACAATGTTACGGTAGCATTGAGTCCGTTAATATTATTGTGACTTCAGTCGTAAAGGATTTGTCTACAGAAAGCTTCCTTGAGATAATCGGTAGCTGGAGCTTCACGAGACCTTGTAAGTTAAACTCTCAAAAAGTCCTATGCGATATCATCCCCGTCAGGGAGACAAGGCGCAACCCTAAAGGGCGGAAGAGTGAAGAATCAATCTAACACATTGGTTAGCTTCCTTGTAGGTACCATATGAAATTGCCGAAGTAATTCGAGNAGAGAATTTCAGTTTCTGAGTTCGTCCTTGATCACTTGGTCATGGAACAACGGCTTCTCAGATCCCCTTTGTCGTCTGGTGTCTCCCAAACTCACTGCATGGGGTTACTGTACCAGAAGACCCCTAGATGGTAAAATCTGTCTGCTGGTAGAGCTGTCATTCAATATTACTAAATCCTAATCGCTGCCTGCAAATCCTTATGGTAATTGTTTCTACTATAAAATTAAATTTAAATGAGTTGAATACGTACTGAAAAGTAACGAGCATGGCCATCAAACTTCATCTATTTTTCTTTCATTATGTATTCTTATTAATTTTGTATAGGTAAACATGACAAAGGTGATAGGAGAATGTAACAAGAGGATAAAGCTTAATCGGGGGCGGTAGGACACATGAGGGACTCCTGGGCTTACTAACTTAGGTGGCTTGGTCCCTGTTAACTCCAATGTCATTGGCCGGCTATCGAACTACAAGCAGACTTCGTGACTACGCAGCCAGTCAGATAAACGTTGTGGGCCGCTCTAGACACTCTTCTACAGTATGTGATGCATTTATCATAGAGGTGTGAAATTATCTTGGCCCATATAAGTAACCATTTGGCTTCCACTTACGAATCGTCATCCGCGTGGATCACAACAAAAAACACATCAAGGAGAGTTGAATTTTTCCATCTGAACTCTAACCTTCAAGAATCTGGCTTCGGACTATGGTGAGTTATGAGTTCTGGTTTGTGTGTAGTAAGCACTGCTGCCAGAAAATTCAAGCTTTCGAGGCACTCCCTATGCTGTAGGCTAGGCAGCACGAACACCACGAATGCTTCATGACTTGGCCATCTCCTAAAAAACCTATGGCCATAGTTTGGTGCAGAGGTTCCGGGCTACCACTTTTACAGCGGGGATACGTCAGGACAACCCAACAGTGTTACAGCTCGCCGCGTTATTCGCAGCCCAAAATTATATTCATATCCTGTTGAGTTTAATTTTAAGTAAATCCCAGTGAGAATGACATTGAAAAGAGTTGAATAGAAATAGTAGTTGACAATCAATAATCATAAATACAAGTTGTGAGGTACCTACGATTACTTCAAAAAGAGACCACTAGCCAAACATCCCTGACATTGTCTTGGTAAAGAAGGGAGGTGAGCGGAATTAATCCACTACCACGAAATGCCGCTTGCTGGAGGAGCTGAGCTTATCGTGACTATCTTCCTCTAATACGGTATTCTCATTTTTTTGAGAAGACATGGTTCATGTAGAGTACCCAGAAAATACAGTTTCAAAGAGTTTGCTAGAACCGAAGAACTCGTATCATAAAAGAAAAACTTCATTGGTAATATTAGAGCAGCCTCATGAGAGCATTTAAGGGTACCCAGCCACGGCTTACTGCTTTTACGTAAACATAACCATGCAGGACTCCAACCGAACTAACGGAGATAGCTGAGCTCTGGTTCCATCCTTCCTCATACTCGTTCTTGACGTCACTTTCAGAGCCCATACCTTACAGCCTCCCCACTCTTGTTCGGACTTCAATTGCAAGAGCGATCAAAGCGAGAAAGCATTTTGATGAGGCAGTTCGATGGGATATTCGAGAAAGGGCAGGAATTATCAGCCACGGTTTGGTGGTAAAGATCAAGGAATGGCCTGATTCCCTCTGGTCTGTGCGATTTGGAACATCTACCGGATGTAAGATGTAGGAATATATAAGGTGAAAGGCAACCATAAAAATTCAGAGACCACCTGCTTCATCTGGCGATAAAAAGGTTTAAAGAAAAGAAATGTAAAAAANAAAAAACACAAGAATAGCAAGAGATGTTAAAATATACGAGCAAGATTTCTATACACTATGTACCTCAGCTGCTCGCGTTTTACCACTTTTCAGTTCTGCAAATATCACAAGATACACCCAACTTCATTTTCTGCAGTTTAATGAGTATCGATGAATTGGGAAGGGTAAGACCCACTTGCGAAGGTCACGTACCATTTTTATGCATATTATATTTATTGAAAAGCAAGATAGATATGTAACATGCAGCAAAATGGACAACAAAATTTACGACAACGGTTGTAAGCAGTTGGAAGAGAAAGGAATGTGACTTCTAAAGTGAAGTAGTCGCTGGAGTCTACGTACGGTTACCGACAACAATGGCTAGCAGAGCGTCGCGGTACTGTCCAGAGGTATCGCCCTGAAACAACATCAATGACCATGAGCGCAAGGATGGGGCAGCTGTTTTGGAAGGGACCTATTCTTACGCTAAAAGGGAGGAAAAACATTCAAAAACGTCCACTAAAACAGATATTTACGATCAGTGGAACCGATAGGTATCGAACTTCCCGGTTTTGGTACGCGACCAGCACAGCTCCAAACGAATTCTGCTTCCTTCCTGCTCTCCTTCACTTTGCCCACCCCGTTAACAACGAATAACGGCTCAGTCATGCTATAGACCATTTTTACTCTGAATCAGTTACGTGGCGCAATCCCAGACAGGGTCAGACATGGACTTTCGGAAATGGCTCTTCCGGTACAATACTTGTGAACTTTACTCACTCAATACCTACTCACTTGGTCGGTTCAGGGAAATGGGAAGTCATGAGGGCCCACGTAATAGCCCAAACACAAAATGCTTCCAAAATTTTAATCATGTCAGTATTCTGACTCCCTTAAATAGGCCTCCTTCACAATGAAAAAGCATGATCCCCTGGGCTAGGTTTCCCAATAAGGCCTGTGGTTAGTTACAGATACAGTTATTATGGAAAAATACTAAATAATTCTAATTCTAGGTTTCAGAAGCGGAGTGAACGTTCTTAATTTCATTTCAAAACCAACCTTGATCATGTCTTCGAGCGATTTGTTGTAGAGAGCAAGGAATTCCTCCTTGATCAGCTGCAGATCGACCTCCGAACGAGTGACAAGCACACGGATCAGATCGTTATCACGAGTTCCGAGACCCTTCAAAAATGGAAATAAAAAAAGGAGGGAATTTTTAGAAGTCCAGCTGGCTAGAACGGATCAAAGGGGAACGTAGTGTTACCTTCATGGAGTTGTATAGCTGAGTAGCGAAGAATTTCTGCTTGTCCGATGCTGCTCGTACAATTGTCAGATAACTCTTTTGTAGGTCACCGCTGAACTCCTTTTCAATCAGTTTCTCAATTGAGGATCCAGACAATTCAGCAAAAGCTGCGAATATCTGAAATACAGGAAAAATCAGGCGATTCAGCCTGTTAGTTATTCCTGTCAATGTGTTCAGACCGACCTTTCTCAGTTGATACTGGTTCTGTGAAGCCATGATGCTCAAGAAATGCGATGGGGAGTCTTTTCCGCTCAGTTTTCCCTTTCCATCAGCATATAGGCGGACAGCATCCTGAAGGAAACATTGCACTATTCATGAGATTCAAATGGGCAACTACTGAAATGTCTTACATCTTTGGCCTGTTGATCGTTGGTGTGGTTGCTGGGGTCTCGGCTTCCAGTGATGATAGCTACGAGTAGATCTTTGAATTCTCCAGATGTCTCGGATGCAACCTGCGAATTGCTAGGTAATCAGTCTGTGGATTGAGGTAAGGCACCTATGGTTGAGTGGGTAATTGCTTTAGTCGTGTATGCCATCCCTGATATTTAGGAAAAGACCTCTTCCTACCTTTCCAGGATATCAGTGCCCTTTAACCCGTAAGTTCTTTCCTCCTCATTTTTCTTATCCGAGTTCAAGAGATGAATGAGAAAAACCCGGAAACCGAACAGGTGATTTCTCAATACAAGTATTGAAAAAGAGTTTGACGCCGATTTATTAATTCTAGCTAGCCCCTGACACTAGTTTGTCATAATATGGGGTCCGATCGTACCAATAGACCAAATGTTGGTGTGAAGTTTCTAGCCTGTGAAGTTTTCTATGTTAAAAAAACTTCTACCTCTTGCTCAAGCGGCTTCTTGAATTCTCTTTCGTAAGCCACACGGATGGCCTTGATCTGATCAGTTGTTCGAGAGCAAAGGATCTCGATCAGCACAGCTTCATCGGTGCCGAGGCCCTGGAATGAATGAGATTCTGGAAAAACTCCACAGAGACTTTCCTACTCATTTGTCAAAAGAATCAAGAACTCATTTTACTGACGCTTCAAGTTGTTGTGAATCTTACCTTCATGGCCTGTTTAAGTTGCTTGAGATCGTATTCGAGTGGTGTTTCCATAAGAGCGAAGATGGTCTTTTCGAGATCTCCGCTGAACTTCTTGTCCAGAGCGGCCATGATATCCTTACCATACTTGATCTTGTATGGCTCGCGTAGCTAAAAACAGTCTGAATAAATTTGAGAAACAACAAATCATAAAACAATCAAAAACAATAAAAGTCCTAGAAACAGTAATCACAATATCCTGACTACAAAAAGACTCTGAACTCTCTCATCTGATCATTTCATCCTATCGCTGTTTTCTATGCTTAAGCCGCCAACTTCATCCCATTCAAATAGAGGCCTTGCTAATGTAACTTCTTCAATCAAAACGTGGTCTCTTAGGGTACATTCTCGAATGTCCGCTTATTTGGTTGTCCTCTAAGGGGAGCAGTAAGTAGGAAAAACTCCAAAGCACACAGAGCTTGAAGAAGACGGATGAAGTAAAATGAGTTCAGCACTGGAGAGATTGCCAACAAAGGATTTCCAATGGTCACTTTATTTGCTGCTGTAGTTTCAAAAGAGCTAAGCTTCAAATTTCTATTCAGCATCTCAATCCAGGCTAGTGTTTCTCATAGGTCATCGTTTTTCTTTTCAGCAGACGTGATTCCCAGTCATCGGTACCTGAGACTTCATTCTGACTTTAAGAACATTAACAAGCAAGTCTTCGATTCACTGTTGCCATAGAGTTGCTGGTTCTGTAAATGAAATCAGTAAGGGTAGAGATGTGGGATGTCTGGGCTCATCTTGATTCTTGAAGGTCTTGCTGTCGATCAGGTACTACTATGTACTTCTATAGCACTTTCACCAAACCTCAAAGCTCCTCACACTTCTTCCATTACTAGATTACTTTCCGTAATGACTCTCAAAATTCTGTCACCTCAATCACCAAGTGCTGAAGACCAGTGATATTAACAGCTCCTTGCAGCCGTTAATTGATCAGATAATCAGTGAAGCTGATAACGATCATGTCCTAACCCATCAGTTTTTGAGCCTTTTTACCACGTTCTTTGAAAGTAGCGACGCCAACGCTATCTTATCATTTGGAAGTAAACCACTGGGGTTTCGTGGTGGCCGTGGGCCTGTTATGGACATCCAGGATACTCTCCACTGCGATCAAAGATATTTATTGACGAGACACAGTTGATTTCATGATTTGGCGTTTTTCACCACACCGTCCTCTATAACGAACTGTTATGTGATTCAGCTACTGTCTCTCAAAATCAAGGTCAACGCAGCTAGAACAAAGCCTATGTATCCTCCAAGAGCGGAAACGTACCGATGAGATTCTCCCAACCAGCCGATATGGGAAAGACCTACATATGTGGAGCAGGTATTACGCTCCTAGTCCATGTATGTATACTATGTTCTAAAGCGCGACCCACCTAGGTCAACCAAGCCTTCCGTCCCTTTAGCTTCCACAAGCCTTTGTATGGCCAAATACCCATACAAGTAGTACGATTGGATAGGAGAACAACTAGTTTATCCCTGTCTCAAATTGATCTAGCGTGAACCGAAGTTTTGCTGTCAAGAAACCCCTTACTACTCCTACTCTGAAAGAAAAGACGTGAGGGGTTAGTGATAGCGAACAAAGCATATCTTTCTGCGGTCAGCACCGTTATCGCTGATGCTCTCGGATGTTTNAGTAGTACGATTGGATAGGAGAACAACTAGTTTATCCCTGTCTCAAATTGATCTAGCGTGAACCGAAGTTTTGCTGTCAAGAAACCCCTTACTTTGAGTGCTCTGAAAGAAAAGACGTGAGGGGTTAGTGATAGCGAACAAAGCATATCTTTCTGCGGTCAGCACCGTTATCGCTGATGCTCTCGGATGTTTTTTGCAGGGCTCATTCAATTGATAAAGTCTATCCGTCAGAAATTTTCTGCAGCGTACGCACATTCCGCACGTTCTTGCCTGATGGCAATTTCTGATAGATTTCTTTTGTGAGCTTCCATCCGTTATTTTTCTTTTGGGTGGCATAACCTCTGAAGAATCAGAATACATAACAACCAAAATCGAGTACAATATGTCGTGACGCCTTTAGGTTACTCCGATTCTTAGTAACTTCAAGAATCGGGAACGCACTGTAGAAACGAGAAACGAAATTGAAGGGTTCAGCGTTAGTGCCGGTGAGGCTAAAAATGAAGACAAATGGTTTCGCCTGCCTGGCCAGTCAACTATCCAAAAGAGAAACCAGTAGTGAAGAGTAAAGCTATGTTTGATGGTGTACTATCCATAGGCACGTTCACAATGCGCCACATATTCGACGTCCAATCTTATTTAGTTGTACAGTTGTTGGTACCACTGATCTTGCCTTACTACGACTCCACTTGCATTCAGAAATGCAATGAAGGATAAGAAGATAAAATTTCTAGGGTCAATCTATTCCATCAGAGAGGCGATCCCGGAGGGACGGTATGCTCGGTTGGTCAGGCGGGTATCGAGCCAGAATTCGAGCCTGTGACCTTGCACGTGCGATTGTGGCACTTGCAACCATACCACTTCCGCGAACGTTAAGCAAATACATAAATAAATTGTGATACCGTCTACAACATTGCACCCACTGCCGTACTGGATTCTATTGACTCTAAATATTACATACATAGTGTCCAGATCTTTCCGCTTCTAAATAGTCGATTCAAAACTGTCTGGTTAACAACTGATGGAGGTACTGGTTGTACCGTACTATCCGATATAATCGATTCTCAGAATTGAAATGCCTTCAGTTTTCGTTGTACTTCCATTCGGCAGTAAATATGCGCTCAAGCCGAATGTAAAAGCGAAAATTTGGATTTTACAACTAGAAATCGAAGCCTCTCGGCGCTATTTTATTACCCAGACCAAAAGACAAGGAGAATAAGGGGGAATTGATTCCTTCACGAACAGCTGGCCCCATTCGTGTTGCTGATGACCACAGTAATCACCTCTACTACAACCTTCGTTTGCTCCCTGTGACTTTACATTCCATCGTTGAATGTGGTTTTTAATAGGTAATCGTGACTCTACGAATTCCTGTTTTCGCAGAACTTCTCCTCAAACTTATCGCCAATCCTCCCTTTCTGCCTCATACGTATAGGATTTTGTTGGAAAGATCGGAAGATATTCTGTAGGAGATCAGTCAAGAGGGTACTTGTCCACATCAACTTGTCCACAAGTGGGCTGGCTAGTTCGTAAATTGTTTTCTACTTTCTGTAAAACCATTCAAACATAGAGGGTCTTATCAGAATGATTAGCGAAACCAATGAAGCGCACTGGCTTTTTAAGACGATTTGGCAACTGATAAGAGACGACACTTCCTTCACGATCCTGGAAGTAGTCGAGAGAGAGGTTTGTGGGAGATCACGTGAACATAAGGTAAAGAGTATAGCTTTCTGAAAAAGGTACCGTGCTTTTCGTGCCCCTGCTTTGGCATCTTCATAAAAACCCCTTCCTGTCTCTCTATTTGTGCTCTAAGTGGTCCCTCAAACCTTCGTCCCTTCGGTCGAAAATTGAATTGGAAGCATCAGCAAATTTTTCCGCATACATTTATCAAGAACATTAACGAGCCCCCCTCCTCGAATAGATGGCCCCTAATCCAATCGACAGCTGACTGACGAGCATAATGGCACACAACGAACGGCCCGTTCAACGCGACCATTTTGCGATGCTCCTACAAATGGACGGAAAGGCCAGGAAGGGGGAAGGGGCAGCTTGCAACGCTGAACCCAACTGACCTGTCACAACCTCATGGTTCTAAATTCATGATCAAAGTTCTCAGAATACTTTCCGGGTACGAATTCCTTCGAAAGCACCCACAACGCTAGACCTCGGCAAACTTGATTGCCAGAAGGACTTTGGACGGGCTTTTTTCTCAAGCCCAAAAAACGCGTCGGGTAATTCACCAGCTGTGAAGCATTTCAGTCAGTAAATTGGATTTCTAGAAGCAAAAAAAA